CCAATTGATATTGATACATTATTATTAACTAAAGTTCATAGTTTACATTAAGGTTCACTCTTTGTTTTATATAGTTCTATGGGTTTTGACAGATGCTTACTGTCATGTGTTCACCATTACAGTATCATACAGAATAGTGTCACTGCCATAAAATGCCCTGTGCTCCACCTATTAATCCTTCCCCTCTTCCCCTAACTTCTGGCAACCACTAATTTTTTCACTGTTTCTATAGTTTTGCTTTTTCAAGAATGTCATATAGTTGGAATCATATACTATGTAACTTTTTCAGACTGGCTTCTCTCACTTAGCAGTATGCATTTAAAGTTCTTCCATGTCTTTTCATGGCTTGATAGTTCATTTCTTTTTATCTCTGAATAATAATATATTTATGTACTACAGTTTATCCATTCAACTACTGAAGCAACTTGGTTGCTTCCAAGTTCTGTCAGTTGTGAGTAAAGCTGCTATAAACATTCATGTGCAGGTTTTTGTGTAGATAAAAGTTTTCAACTCATTTGGGTAATTCCCTAGAAGCATAATTGCTAAATTGTGTGGTAAGCCTATGTTTAGAGTTGTAAGAAATTACCAGACTGTCTTCCAAAGTGGCTGTACTATTTTGCATTCCCACTGGCAATGAAGGAGAGTTCATGTTGTTACACATCCTTGTCAGCATTTGGTATTGTCAGTGTTTTGGATTTTAGCCATTCTGATAGTTGTTTTGATTTATAATTCCCCTAATGACCTGTGATGTTGAGCATCTTTTCATATACAGTACTTATTTACCATCTGTATATCTTCTTTGGTGACATATCTTGTTCAGATCTTTTGCCTATTTTGTAATTGGGTTGTTTTCTTATTTGTTGAGTTTTATGCGTTCTTTGTATATCTTGGATACAAGTCCTTTATCAGATATATGTTTTGCAAATATTTTCTCCCAGATTGTAGCTTGTATATTCATTTTCAAACAGTATCTCTCACAGAGCAGAAGTTTTTAATTTTAGTGAAGTCCAGCTTATCATTTTTTTCTCTTATGAGTTGTGATTTTGGTGTTGTATCTAAAAAGTCATCGCCAAACCCAGGGTCACCTAGATTTTCTTGTATGTTATTGTCTTAGTCGTTTAGTGCTGCTATAACAGAAATACCACAAGTGGATAGCTTTAATGAAGAGAAATTTATTCTCTCACAGTCTAGTAGGCTGCAAGTCCAAATTCAGGGTGTCAGCTTGAGGGGAAGTCTTTCTCTTCTCTGTCAGCTCTGGAGGAAGGTCCTTGTGATGCATCAGTCTTCCCTTGGTCTGGGAGTATCTCAGCGCAGGAACCTCAGGTCCAAAGGATGCGCTGTGCTCCTGGCACTGCTTTCTTGGTGATATGAGGTCCCCATGTCTCTTTGCTTGCTTCTTTCTCTTCTATCCCAAAAAAGATTGGCTTAAGACACTACCTAATCTTGTAGACCTTATCAATGTAACTGCCACTAATCCATCTCAGTACGTTATAGCGATAGGATTTACAACACATAGGGCAATCACATAAAATGGTGGACAATTGTACAATCTGGGAATCAGGACCTAGCCAAGTTGACAGATATTTTGGGGGGACACAATTCAATCCATGACAGTTATCTTCTAGAAATTTTATAGTTTTGCATCTTACATTTAGGTGTATGATCAGTTTTGAGTTACTTTTTGTGAAAGATGTAAGTTTTGTGTCCAGATTACCTTTTTCTCCTTGTATGAGTTTTGATAGGTTGTGCTCTCAAGGAATTGGTCCATTTCATCTAAGTTATCAAATTATTTTTTCAAGATCTAGATTTGTTTTTTATTTGACATCAGATATATAGCTTCCAAATATTTTATCCCATTCTGTAGGTTGACTTTTTACTTTCTTTTTTATTGTGCTTTAGGTGAAAGTTTACGGCTCAAGTTAATTTCTCATACAAAAATTTATACATGTATTGTTATATGACATTAGTTGCAATTCCTATAATGTGACAGCACACTCCCCCTTTCCACCCCTGGTTTGTTGTGTCCATTCAGCCAGTTCCTGTCCCTTCCTACCTTCTCATCCTGCCTCTGGACAGGAGCCACCCATTTGATCTTGTGTAGCTGTTTAAGAAGCATACTCTTCATGAGTATCACTGTATGTTTTATAGTCCAGTCTAATCTTTGTCTGAAGAGTGGGCTTTGGGAATGGTTTTAATTCTGGATTAACAGAGTGTCCAGGGGCGATGGCTTTGGGAGTTCCTCCAGTCTCAGCCAGACCATTAACTCTGGTCTTTACTTGAATTTGAGTTCTGCTCCACACGTTTCTCCTGCTTGGTCTGGAACTTTCTGTTGTTTTTCCTGTCAGGGTGGTCATTGTAAGTTTTCAGATTTGAGGCTCCTTTACTATCCTTTTAATGTCCACGAGATCAATTGTGATGGTTCTTCTTTTATTTCTGGTATTAGTAATTTGTGCTTTTTCTCTCTTTCTTGGCTAGAGGTTTATCAATTTTATTGATCTTGTCAGACAACCAGGTTTTGGTTTCATTGATTTTTCCCTATTAATTTACTGTTTTCAATTTCATTGATTTCTACTCTAATTTTTATTTCTTTCCTTCTGCTTACTTTGGATTTAATTTGTTCTTTTTCAAGTTTTCTAAAGTGGAATCATATAGTATTGATTTTAGATCATTCTTCTTTTCTGATATATGCATTCAACGCTGTAAATTTCCCCGTAAGTACTGCTTCACAGCATCTCACAAATTTAGGTGGGTTTGCCTTGTGACCTCAATTTTTTGATGGATCTAAGAAGAGCTGATTTTCAGTTTGTTCAGCTTTTTATAGTTGTGAGAACGGGAGGGGCAACTTCCAAGATCTTTAATGGTAGTCACTTCTTATTTCAGTATCTTAACTTTTTTCCTACATGTGGCTCTCATATTTCTGTTGAACTGTGGTGCATTTCTCATTCCTTTTCCTTGTGTTCTTTTAAATAGTTTATTTATTTAGAGATTAAGTGAGCAATGAGATGTATTCATTTTCTCCTTATGAGATTTATGTATAATTTCCTTAGCAGTATAGTATAGTGCTTTTATTTGGCAGAAATGATACTCTCTGAGAGTCCCTTACTTAGTTCTGTTCTTCATGTTCCTACTCTATTGATGACATTGATTTTTTCCCCCTCTTTTATTAATTGTTTCACTCATTGAGGTAGGCAGAATCATAGCCCTGCAAAGAGATGTTCACATCCTAATCCTTGGAACCTGTCAATATGTTAAATTACATGCTACAGGGACTTGGCAGATGTGATGAAGGTGATGGATCTTAAGATGAGGTGATGTTCCTGAATTATCCAGGTGGGCCCAATCTATCAGAGTCTTTAAAATAGGGAACCATTCCTGCCTTATTTAGAGTGATGCAATGATGAAAGAAGAGGCAGGAGTGATTCAAAGTGTGGGAGGTAGTCAACTCTCTATTGCTGGCTTTGAAAATGGAGGAAGGGGGCCACCATCCAAGGAATGCGGGTGGCCTTTAGAAGCTGAGAATGACGCTCAGCTTTCAACTAGCAAGGAAACGGGGCACTCAGTCCCACAACCACAAGGATATGAATTCTGCCAGCAACCTGAATAAGCAAGGAAATGGATTCTACCCTAGGACCTCTAGAAAGGAATGCAGCCCTGCTAACACCTAAGCTTTAGACTTCTGACATACAGAAATGTAAAATAATAAATTTATGTTGTATTTACCTTCTAATTTTATGGTAATTTGTTACGGCAGAAATTGAAAAGTAATACACTGCTTCTTTTTTCTCTTTTTACCTTTAAATTATGAGTGTTCTCTAATGCTTTCTTCTATTCCTTCAGAGAATTTGTACATTTACAGTGTAGTTTTGCTAGAAGGCAGTAGAAAATTTGGAATTTGAAGAAATTCATGTTAGTCTGCGTTCTTTTGTTTTGGACATATTAATTCCATCTGCATGTTGTTGAAATTTCCGGAATAGAAAAGACTTAGTTTGTTTTTTTGTTCAGTTGCTGGCTCACAGACTCACTCACTCCTTCACTTGTTCATTCAGCCAACATAGAACATTTATTATGTGCCAGGCAAAGTGTCCTGGAAACATGAAGTTTAATAAGATTCCCTGGGCCCAAGGAGCTTTCAGTCTAATGGAGAGAGAGAGCCCAGAAAATCAGTATTTGGTAAGTGCTGTGAAAGAGATAGCACAAGATGCAATTGATTCATATGTTCTATACTGGCTGGAAAATCTGGTGAGGTTTTTGGAGGAAGGATTATTAAGATCAGTTGTGAAGGACAAGTAAGAGTTAAAATGTTGTATACTAGATTTTAGGCCAGTTACTTAAAGGGTAAGTTTTAGGATCATTCCTACATAGTTTCATAGTGGATAATGAGCTTATATACACACAATTTCACAAAATCTTGATTGGTAATATGTAAGTTTTTCTTACATTTAATAATAAAATGTTAGGAAAATAAGTTTTACCCCCTGGTAAAATTCTGTGTGAATGTGTGTGAGTCTTGTGGAGATTTTATTTTCTATCATCAGTTTAGTGTGTGTGTGTATATATATATATATATATATATATATATATAAATATTTTGTAATTGTTTCTTAATGTAGAATGAAAAATATAGGTTGAAATGATAAATATAACAGTTTTATAAATTTCCTAAAGGTAGGAAGCTTTGCTTTGAATTTAAATAGCAAATAGAAATCTGCAATGAGTTATTTTATAAGAGAGAATCCAAATGTTATAAAAAGGTCATTTTATATGTCTGTTAATAGATTGCTATGAGAGAAATTTTTAAAATACCAAGATTTCCTGGTTATAAAATAATACATGCTTCATTAGAGCGATTTTTAGAAGAAATAAAGTATCAAAATAAAACTTAACTGTGGTCTGTAGCAAAGACTTGGGAAAGTTATTATGTAAAGTTATGAATCAGGTGTTCATCATAAAAGTTTTAAAAGTGTGTTTCAGTAAAAATTGATGTAACTTTTTAATTAAAGGAAAACAAAGTGTTGCGGACAGTTCCTCTACTAGCAGCATGCCTCCCCAGGGACAAGTGTAAAGTCAAGATTGGTCGTCGCTTCAGTGAAGAAAGGTAAATTAATGCTTAGGGCAATTTAAAACAACTCTTTTTCACTCATATCTTTATAAAGATTTCCTTCAACTTAGTCATTAGATCCAGAACATGATTCGTTGGAAGTGGTCAAAAAACTAAGTTCTGCTCTTTCTTCCCCTCAAAGAAAATAATACAAGACAGACAAAACAAAATAGAATAAACATAGGATGATAACATTATCTGAATTTCATAGTAAAACATGTTGAACCTAAAAGGCAAATATCGTATTTCTTATTTCATTTTTGTAAAAAGTACATTCAGTATGATAGACTATTTTGTGTTAGATTTAGTCAGTTTTGTCTTTGGTGCCTAATTTGCTGTTTCCCAAACCAGCCAAACCCATCGTCATTCAGTCAGTTCCGACTCAGTGACCCTATAGGACAGAGCAGAACTGCCGCATAGGGTTTCCAAGGCTGTAATCTTGAAGGAAGCAGACTGTCACATCTTTCTTCTGCAATTGCTGTTTGCTCAGTAGATTATTATTGGCTGATGGATTTTAAATTAAAACAGATTAAGACTATTGATTTACCGTTAGTCTGGTAATTGAATGATTAATTTAGGTTTTTGTTAGAGTACTTTATGCAGACATGGGGGAGATATTAAGAGAGATACTGCTTTTGGGGTTCTTTGGGTAGAGAGAACAGACTCTTCTTGGAGCTTTTTTTTGGTTTGTGCTGGTTAGTAGTTCTGGGTTGGAAGCTTCTGCAGTGTCCTGTCCTCAGGGAACTTAACTGCTGTGTTATTCCTCAGTTCCCAAGGTCCCTAGACCCTTCTCCATTTTCTTTCAGAATCTTCCTATGCATGTTTGTTATGTTATGTTCAGGAATTTTTAGTTGTTAGAGGGAAGACCTGGGAAGAATGGAGCCAGTACATCTTGGTTGGAACCAGAAGTCAGTCCATATAAATTTTAGAATCAGTTTGTTAATTTCCTTTTTTAAAAAAAGCCTAGTGCAATTTGGACTGAGGTTGCATTACATCTATTGATTTGTCTGTGGAGAATTGTTATGTTAAAAATATTGAGCCTTCCAATCCCTGAGTATGGTGTAACAATTGTCTAGATGTTTTTCAATTTTTCTCAGTAATGTTTGATAATTTTTGGTTAGATGAGTTGGAAATCTTTTCTTGGATTTATTCCTAGTTATATGATGTTTTTTGTTCTATTGTAAATGGAATTAAAAATGTTCACTTTCAATTTTTTGCCTCTAGTATGTAAGAGGCCCTGGTGGTGCAACACGTTAAGTGCTCAACTACTAAATGAAAGGTTGGTGGTTTGAACCTACTCAGCAGCTCCATAGGAAAAAGACCTGGCAATCTGCTTCCATAAAGATTACAGCCAAGAAAAGCCTATAGGGCAGTTATACTTTGTTACATGGGATCACTATCAGTCAGAATCGACTTGATGACACCCAGCAACAACAGTATATCAAAAAAGATGATTTTTGTATATTAACCCTATATCCAGTGACTTTGCTAAATTTACTGATTAGTTCTAGAAATTGTTTTGTGGTTTCACTAAGTCTTTCTATGTAAACAGTGCTATCATTGCAAATAGGTTCAGTTATACTTTTTCTTTTCTGATACTTATTCCTTTTATTCTTTTGTTCATGCCTTATTGCAATAACTAGGATCTCTAATAAGGTCCTTTATTTGTGCAAATGTTTTGCACTCAACTACAAACCTAAAGGTTGGTGTTTCAAACCCACCCAGCAGTAGTGTGGAAGAGAGGCCTGGTGATCTGATTTTGTTAAGATTACAGGATTTATGGAACAGTTTTACTTTGTAACACATGGGGTCGCCATGAATTGGAATCGAGTTGACGACAACTAAAAGCAACAACAAGCTCTCCCATACAATGTTTAATAGAAGTGGTGAAAGCCAGCATCCTTACCTTAATCCCAGTCTCAGGGGACATTGCTAAATATGGTATTGGCTGTACATTTTTGTAGAGGCCATTTATCAGTTTGAGGAGGTTCCCTATTATTCCTAAAATGTCAAAAATTTTTCTCATGTGTAGTTGTTGCCCACCACTTGTCTGTCAGTTTGTTGTACTATAGTGGTTTGCGTGTTGCTGTGGTGCTGGAAGCTATGCTACTGGTATTTCAGATACCAGCAGGGTCACCCATGGTGGACAGATTTCAGCAGAGCTTCCAGACTAAGACGGACTGGGAAGAAGGACCTAGCAATCTACTTCTGAAAAAATTGGCCAGTGAAAACCTAATGGATAGCAGCAGAATATTAGCTGATATAGTGCCAGAAGATGAGCTCCTCAGATGGGAAGTCACTCAAAATATGACTGGGGAAGAGCTGCCTACTCAAAGTAGAGTTTACCTTAATGACATAGATGGAGTAAACCTTTGGGGACCTTCATTTACCGATGTGACATGACTTGAAATGAGGAGAAATAACTGCAAACATCCATTAGCACTCAGAATCTGGATTGTATGAGGTATCAATCAAGGGAAATTGAAAGTCATCAAAAATGAAATGCATTAAGATTGGCATCCTATGCATTAGTGAGCTGAAATGGACTAGTATTGGCCATTTTGAATCAGATATTCATATGATCTACTATACCAGGAATGATAAATTGAAGAGAAATGGCATCACATTCATCATTAAAAAGAACATTTGAAGATCTATCCTTAAGTGAAACGCTGTCATTGATAGGATAATATCCATACACCTATAAGGAAGACCAGTAAATATGACTATTATTCAAATTTATGCACTAACCACTAATGCCAAAGATGAAGAAATTGAAGATTTTTACCAACTTCTGCAGTCTGAAATTGCTCGAATGTGCAGTCAGGATGCATTGATAATTACTGGTGATTGGAATATGAAAGTTGGAAACGACAAAGGATCAGTAGTTGGAAAATATCGCCTTGGTGATAGAAATGATGCCGGAGATTGCATGATAGAATTTTGCAAGACCAAAGACTTCATCATCACAAATACCTTTTTTCAGCAGTGTAAACAGTGACTATACATGGGTACCTCACTGGATGGGATACACAGGAATCAGATCTACTACATCTGCTGAAAGAGACAATGGAGAAGGTCAGTATCGTCAGTCAGAACAAAACCAGGGGCCAACTGCAGAACAGACCCTCAATTGCTTATATGCAAGTTCAAGTTGAAGCTGAAGAAAATTAAAACAAGTCCATGAGAGCCAAAGTATGACCTTGAGTATATCTCACCTGAATTTAGAGACTATTTCAAGGATAGATTTGATGCATTGAACACTAATAACCGAAGATCAGACGAGTTGTGGGATGACATCAAGGACATCATACATGATGAAAGCAAAAGATCATTAAAAAGCAGAAAAGAAAGAAAAGACCAGAATGAATTTCAGAAAAGACTCTGAAACTTGGTCTTGAAAGTAGAGTAGCTAAAGTGCAGGGAAGAAATGATGAAGTAAAAGAGCTGAACAGAAGATTACAATGAGCAGCTCAAGAAGAAAAAGTAAAGTATTATGATGACATGTGCAAAGACTTGGAGTTAGAAAACCAAAAGGGAAGAACGTGCTGGTCATTTCTCAGGCTGAAAGAACTGAAGAAAAAATTCAAGCCTTGAGTTGCAATATTGAAGGATTCTTTGGGCAAAAAATTTAATGATGCAGGAAGTATCAAAAGAAGATTGAATGAATACCCAGAACCACTGTACCAAAAAGAATTGGTCGGCATTCAATCCTTTCAGGAGGTAGCATATAATCAAGAACCAGTGGTACTGAAGGAAGAAGTTCAGGCCACACTGAAGGCATTGGCGAAATACAAGGCTTCAGGAATTGATGAAATACCACTTGAAATATTTCAACAAACGGATGAGAGGCTGGAAGCGCCCACTTGTCTATGCCAATAAATTGGAAAGACTGCTACCTAGCCAACTGACTGGAAGAGATCCGTATTTGTGCCCTTTCCAAAGAAAGGTGAAACAATGGAATGCAGAAATTATTGAACAGTATCATTAATATCACATGCTATTAGAATTATGCTGAAGATAATTCAAAGATGGTTGCAGCAGTACATCGACAGGTAACTGCTGGAGTATCAAGCCAGATTCAGAAGAGGACGTGGAATGAGGGACGTCACTGCTGATGTCAGATGGATCTTGGCTGAAAGCTGAGAATACCAGAAGAGTGTTTCCCTGTGATTTATTGACTATGAAAAGGCATTTGTCTGTGTGGATCATAACAAATTATGGATAATATTGCAAAGAATGGGAATTCCAGAACACTTAATTGTGCTCATGCAGAACCTGTACATAGACCAATTGGACAGTTGTTTGAACAGAACAAGGCGATACTGCATGTTTCAAATCAGGAAAGGTGTGCATCAGGGTTGTATCCTTTCACCATACTTATTCAATCTGTATGCTGAGCAAGTAATCCGAGAAGCTGGACTGTAAGAAGAATGTGGCATCAGGTTTGGAGGAAGACTCATTAACTACCTGCGTTAGGCAGGTGACACAACCTTGCTTGTTGAAAGAGAAGAGCTTGAAGCACTTACTGATGAAGATCAAAGACCATAGCCTTCGGCATGGATTACAGCTCAACGTAAAGAAAACAAAAATCTTCACAACTGGACTAATAAGCAAAATCATGATAAATGAAAAGATTGAAGTTGTCAAGGATTTCGTTTTACTTGGATCCACAATCAATGCCCTTGGAAGCAGCAGTCAAGAAACCAGATGACATATTGCATTAGGCAAATGTGCTGCAAAAGACCTCTTTATTTATTTGGTTTATTGTTGTAGTTTAAGTGAAAGTTTACATTTCCAGTTAGTCTCTTACACAGAAATTTATACATACATTGTTATGTGACCTTAATTGCTCTCCCTATACTGTGACAGCACACTCCTCTTTTCCACCCGATTTCCCTTGTTCATTCAACCAGCTCCTAACCCTCTCTGCCTTCTCATCTCACCTCTGGACAGAAGCTGCCCGTTTAGTCTCATGTATCTACTTGAGCTAAGAA